CCCCCCCCCCAGCAAGAGTCATTTCCAAGGACGCCATCCCAAGTAGCTGCGTACTTGGGACTCACAGAAGTGCTCTCGGAACTTGTCGTCAAATTGGATCCATCGAAGAAAGATAAAGAGCTACCAAAGGCCACGGAATACGCCGCAAGAAAGGGTCATGCGAATGTGGTTCGAGTTCTCGCTGAACTCGGTGTCAAAGCCGAAGGCGCGCTCCTCGGAGCCTCCAGGCTCGGCGACGAAGCTACTGTGACTGAGCTGCTCAAAACCCATCGTACATACATAAACTCCAGAGGCGGGCCGGATGGAGTCTACGCGCCACTTCTAGAAGCAGCCCGTTGTGGACATGTCGACAGCTTTGCGAAGCTCCTATCCGAAGGGGATCCTGTCGCCATGGCAGCCCATACGAAACTCACTGCACTGCATCTGGCCGCAAGGATTGGTCAATTGGCGATTGTCCGGCTCCTGATTACCGCCCAAGTTCCTGTGGCGAGCATCGATGAGCAGGGCTATCGTGCTCTTCACTACGAGGCAGAAGGGGGATTCGAGGAAATTGTTAGCATGATTATTGCCGCAAACGACTCGGAAACTCTACCGAGGAAATCAAGAGTCTGGCGAGGGCTCTTAATCAACGGCCGACAAGGGATCTGAATACCTCGCTTCATCTAGCAGCATTAAATGGACATTTGAAGACTGTGGAAATTCTACTTGCCCACGACGCTAAGCCATGGATTCTGAATGACCGGAAATACACGCCGCTCCATTATGCTGCCGAAGGGGGATTCCAGTTAGTAGTCAGGAGGCTCCTTGGCGCTGTGATGGAGGATCAAGGGGAGCGGTCGATCATTGAAGTTCAGCTATTACTCGGCGAAGCTACTCGCATCCCGTCGCCAGTCGAGCTGGCTGCCAAGAACGGTCACCTAGGCACCATGACGGAGCTACGAAGCTGCGGCCTCTATAACAACAGTAAGATTCTTTCCTCAGCATTGGCTACGGCATGTCGTGAGGGAAAAGACGACTGTGCCTTGTACATCCTTCAGTGGTACGACGAGGTCTACTCGGCCGGCGAACCATTGCGGGATCTAGGCGGGAATACCGCGCTCCATCTCGCCGCACGGCATGGAAATGTGCGATTATTCCAGAGGATTATGGATTCAAAATATGTCCCGATCGACTCTCTCAACAACAGGAGACTTGATCCCCTTCACATTGCTGCGTCTTTCGGGCGTCTTGCCATCATACAGTTGTTCAAGGATGGCTCGGCTCTCGGTGGCACAACGGCTGATGGAACTTGGAGGACACTTCTTAATATCGCAGCAGTGGCCGGCTACCTCGACGTCGTAAGTGGCTCCTAGACTACACGTCACTCAATAAAGAGACTGTTAGGGCAGTTGAAGACACTGCCGTAATGGACGCAGCACCAGGCAAGAACGAGCCGATCGTTAAGCTCCTGCTAGATTCCAAATATGCAGCACCGACTGGTAATCTCGTGCACATAGCGGTGCTGAACGGCTGGAAAGACATTCCGAAGCTGGTGGCATCGAGTAACGCGTCACTTCTCAACTGGACGGACGACACCACCGGTAATACTGCCCTACACCTCACGGTGGAGAAAGAAGACCCTGATATGGTAGAGGCGCTTCTAGCGGTCAAAGCTGATCCCAACCTTGAAACAAGAAGGGTCGGCTGCCTATTGCAATGGCCGTAGAGACGGATAATCTGCATATCGTGACCGCGCTTCTGGGCGGTGCACCTGCACTTGACGTCGACCAGCTCGATATGGATGGTCTGACACCTCTCCTGAGAGCATGCAAAATGGCGTTCAAGGGCGGACATGATACCGCCAAGCTCGTCCGGGGGGTCTTGTCTAAACGCGGAGCCGACATTGATCTGAATGCCAAATTACCTGGCAGTGATGGGGGGTTATGCGGGAATGACTCCCCTCCACCTGTCTGCGCTCCTCCTTTTAAAGCTGATGGAAGAAAGGAGGACACTATCGACGAGGAAGACATGTCGAGGGCAACGACCATACTGACAGCCGCGCCAAGAGCAGTGAGGAGGAAAAAAGGAGCGATGAGAAAGCAAAGGATGAGCTCCACGAAGAAAGCGACGAACTGCACGACGAGCTCCTCAAGTTGCTCCTCGACTTTGGAGCGGACCCTAACTTGAAGGATGCCACGGGCTCTACACCTCTTCTGCTGGCTGCGGGAGCCGGACATATCAAGGCACTCGGTGCTTTGCTAGATCACAACGCCGACCCTAATATCAACGATACTGGAGGATCGACGGCGCTGCACCGAGCCGCTCAGTCTGGCTGCGTCGCCTGCATGAATCTGCTCGTAAAGAAGGGTGCGAATATGAACGCAGTCAAGTTGGACGACGATGCTGACCGTGGGTCTTGGGGTTTTACGCCACCGGTGCTCGCGATAGCCCATAGGCAGCTGAGTGCCGTCAAGGCATTGCTTCGCCTCGGGGCAGATATCGGACGTGCCGTACACGGTGCCGCATTGTGTGGCGGGTTGGACATGTCCAAGACGGTCCATGGTAAATGCCCGGATCCGTATATATTCGACTCTGGTTTGGGAACGCCGCTTTGCCTTGCTGTGACGGCAGAGACCAAAGACGTGGCCTCGTGTCTCCTGGAAAACCCCAAAGTCGCGACAAGTATAGCCAATCCCATCGGCCAGACGCCCCTGACTATTGCCGTCATTCTGGGCAATTAGGACATAGCCAAGTCTCTGGTCGAGAAAGGAGCGGATCCCAATAAGCGAGATCACCAAGGGAGAACGCCACTGGACTATGCAATCCTGTCCACCAACAAGGAGTTGACCAAATTTCTCTGTCAGCATACGAGGCTTGGTTTTCCACTAGACGGCGTCCGTGGGCACAGTCCGTTATATTTGGCCTGTCGCATGTCAGACGACGACATGTTCAACGAGATGAATGAAGCCTGCAAAAAGCTCCAGCCCGACGAGTATTTGCGGTTGTGTGAACTGGCAATCCACGCAGCCATCGTGTCTGGCAACGACGGGCGCCTCACCACGCTGCTGAACACGCCTGGCATTAAAGCAACCGTGGAAGATGACGCCTTTGCAGTGCGCCAGGCCTTATTGCCGCGAGGAGATGGAGAAGCAATCCTAGGCGCTGGCGCTACCGACGAGTCATTAGGTGAGATGAAGAGACCTACGCAATGGCACCTAGACGATAGGCATGCCACACTCTCTCCACGTATAGGGGCAGAGCAGACGCCGCGAGTGAGAGACGCCAAGATGGTAGAGATAGTTAGTGAGTTTGTGCTATAAACCCTCATCTCCGAATTTTGGTCGCACGAGCATCAACCTACCATGGTTTAGCTATAATGCGAGACGTGGTTGAAGCAGCTGTAGCTCGAGCGAACCATTGTATCCCAGACGGCCAGGACTTTTTTTTTGAAATCCGATTGCAGAAATGCTACAAAAAAGGAGACCAGTACGTGATATCAAGTGGCTATTTTTTTAATCATGCTCTGACGAATCAAAAGAAATCTCGGCATTGGTCTCTGCAGTGACATCGCTCCTCCGGATCGCATGCTCGGCTTTGGAGACCAGACCATCTCCTGTGGCTACCATGCTGACGACGGGTTCGTGTACGCAAGTGGTGTGCGTTCAACTGGACTTTTCAAAGAGAGAAAGTATGGTCAAGGGGATACTGTTGGATGCGGAGTGGATGCGGACAAGGGAGTCATCTACTTCACCATAGGTGGACAGCGACTAGGTACGGCTTTATAATTCCCCTCTACGCCGTACCCTATTCTCAGCTGAACGTGACTGTAGTGGGTGCTTTGCACCGCCCTTCCGGAAAGCTTTATCCGGCCGTCTTCTTCAACACTCGCGAGACTGGCGTCAGCATATCTCTGGAGAGAATGTCGAAGCGATTCGGCGCAAGCAAAGTCAAAGTGGAAGACGACTGATGGTTACGGCTCGAATGGAAAATTCCTTGTGCAACGAGGCAATGGGATAGTCACCTTAAACATTATTGCCGAGGAAGATGTCGTGAATACGACTAGTAATAACGCTTTTACTATTTTTATTTGGTAGCGCATAAAACGTAGAGTTAGAACTAGAAAGTAAGTTATCATCTTTAGTTTATAAAATGGGCCTAAATTCCGTAGAATACATAGAATTAAGCAAAGACCAAGTTCAAATTTCATACCATTTATTAACTTTTTAACTTATTTAAAAAAAAAAAAATCAAAAAAACGGGCTAGATGGAGGGCATCTAGGAACACTGTACCTAGGCCAGGGAACCGTAACTAACCACGCAAGTTAATACCATTTATAGCTGCTTATCATGACATGTACATCCCTCTGTACTCCCTTGGGTCAGGCACATTGGGTAGTGTCTCTCACGGAGTACAGTGGTGGCTTCTGCGGGTATAAGCTGAGACAGCTGCTCCAAACGTATTACGAGTCGAGTTCTGAAGCGTCAACTCGTCCATAGTAATCATGACTCGCCAAACTCAGTGGAAATTGAGCGAAAGTTGGTATGGTGAGGCGATTGGTCTGACTACTCCGAGGTATGATTTGTGTGCTTTGCAGACGTTGTTATTCTTTTAGCATTTAATCAAGTAAAGGTGGAGATTGACAAGCCGTTAAAGGTAAGGACTCAACTGGTAGGAGGTCAGACCAATGTAGAGGTATATTCGTACTATTTAATTCGCTATTCTAAGCGATATGAGATCCTAAAGGACTCATACTCCCTTAGGCTGTGCTAGATAAGCCACAAACAAAGCCTATTGGGCTAACAACGGCCACACAAAGAGGTATCACGAGACCAAGATCAAGGCTTCGGGCCCAACGGCTCCTTGGGCCTTCAACCCTTACCGCTTCTTGTACTAAAAGAGCCCATGAGTCATCCAGGCCTTTAAAAACCAAGGACTCTAACACTAAAGCAGGTTATTAACATGAATGGAACTATCGTTCCAAGCCTTCACACAGTGGACCCTTGTCACAGATATCACACATCTTCTTACCATCCGTCTTTACCAAGTGAATAATGGATGAACATTTCCGATTTTGGTTATTGGGGATGAAGGCCAAGATGGGGCAACCTGCCCCTGCACTACAAGCATCGTCGGAAGTGGCTGAATTATAGGGCTCAGCATACGGCAGATGATCTGTCGGTTTAAACAGGTGTAATAGGCATCACAACCATGTGTAGAATCACAAAAGAAGAAAAGAACAAGACAAGAGGTTTCGCCCCGCGCTAATACTGTTAGTTGTTTCGCAAGCCGTCCTAGCAGGTACACGAGATGGACTTTTGAAACCCAATCCGCACCAAAGGGACCCGCAGCCCTTGGTTCATACTCGGCAATACACCAGACACCAGATAACATTCCCGACAATGCAGTTACCCACATTGTTCCGAGGACGACCATGATGACGTCGGAGGTTTGAAGATGGTGGATTGGCTGCTGAGACTAAATTCGAAACAATGGCCAGCTCCACGAGCGATGCTAGCCCAAGGGCCCATCTTGTCATGCCGCGGCAAGCATGACACCAAACGGAAAACATGATCTTCTGAAACAGAAAACTCAGGTCACATGTAGGGCCTGCATCTCACGAGAAACGGCCAAAGCGATGACTTCTCAAACCACCACTCGAGGTTCAAACTCGCAAAAAAAAATCTAATGCATTGCCCTTGTTTCGTCGCAAACCCTGCTACATAAGCATGTCCCTAAGCTAATCAGTTGATAAAGCAAAGGATGGACCGCCAGTGATAGAATTGGCTGTGCGAGGAACCATGCCATTTGTCTTTTCATCAGAACCCTGCGTCGAGGCCGGACCTTGATGTGAGGTACAAAGTCGTTACGATACCTTTACAAGGCAGTGAATCAAGTGGTTTGAAACCACCAGCACCTACCATCGCCATGAACCTGCCCAGACTCGTCACCCTCCTCGCCGTGGCTTTCCACGGCCACGCCATTGCCATAATCCAGCCAGAGCAGCAAGGTCAACTCGCGGGAGGAGGAGGCGAAACGGCAACAGACGGCGCCATGTCCAAGAGAGCACGGCAGCCATCCGCCCAGGCCATCGACAACGCCGCAAGAGCCTGGCAACGAGACACGGGCGTCGTGTCGAATTTCCTATCCAACGCCGAGTCCATGGGCTCGCAGCAGCTCCAGCAACAGGCCCGCATTGCCCTCTCCGCCGAAAACGACGAGCTCAACCACAAGGCGGTGCTGGACCAAATGTTTCTCAAGGGCTCGCCCAAGGATCGAAAGGCGTCCGTCCGACAAGCCAACAATGTCCTGGACACGCAGGGCACGTTTCAGTTTGTGGTGGACGGACTGCAGACTCTTTCGAGGCGCGGTGCCAGAATGTCGCCGGGCCAAGTGAGTTCCATGGTTCGGGCCATCAACCAGGACCGGTGTCCGAATGTGCTGCCGGCGATTGACTCGTACATGGCTGCGGCTGCTGGCGCCGGGCAGGGCGGGAGGGCACTCAAGGCTATACGGCCAACTCAGTGCTGAATACTTTGAGTAGTGGTCCTAGTTCTACTTGAATTGTGACGTGTTGCCCGATGTACTCTACGCTAGCAATATGAATACAAGAGTGCGTGTATACCAAGTCGCCCGAAAAGGACGACAGTTGCGCTTTGATCAAAGGTGCTGTATTTTCTGCAAAATGCGGCGAAACCCAAGTTATACATGTACATCCCTCCGCAATGAGGATGAACTAGCTCATGCTGTTCACTTTTTGGCTGGCTTTGTGGTGGGTTTCTTCTGTTTCAGCTAGTGCTGGTGTTTAACGCATCGCGATGCGTTCATGGTGTCTTGCGTGGTGAGTTACGGTTCCCTGGCCTAGGTACGGCCAAAATACAGTGTTACTGGATGCCCTTCATTTAGCCTGTTTTTATTTATATCTATTTTGATTTCTCTACAATTTAATCTGCGTCTCTACACCATGTGGTTTTAAAATTTGCCGTGTTTTGAATGCAGTTTCATGGGAAGTGCGCCGCAGCATAATTCATATAAATTGGGGAGATTGCTGGACAATGGGACTCCTCAAGGGGGTACAAGCCGTCCGAAAATTGCAGCATAAGATTGAAGGCCAAGTCAAACGCATCCATAGCATCACCAGGAGCCCAAATGTTAGGGAATGAATCAAAGTATGTGCATATGCGACGGTAGAGAAAAAGATGTCAATCTGTCTCATCTATGTTCTCATGATGTTGACAATATAATGTCGTATGCGTACTATTAATCGTCACGTCGTGGCGACCGACCTTGACATGGCAAGGCGTGTGAGCGCTGACGTGCCATCAACTCGACTCCCTGTGTTGTCCTCCAGAATCAATCCAAGGAACCCGACCTGATCCCTGCCGACAGCCCCCAGGATTAGATGTAGCAGAAGCCAGGTGGTTGTGTAATCGATAGAAGGTCTCAGAAGCTAGCCCAAAAAGAAGCGACCCAGCGCCCCGTCTTCACCGCCGTCAAACCAACCGTGCAGATCATCCATGGCGGCAAAGTGTCGCGCATACTCCAAGCCTCTCCTGCGTTCCTTCTCGGTCCGTTCCCACGTCCACTCGGACGTCTTGCCGTCGTCGGGCTCGCCGGCGCTGACGATATCCCCCGTCCCAGAACTTCCGCCATTGTCGGCCAAAGTCCACCCCCCGGGGCGCTCCGGCAGAAGCCCGCTCGCCCCGAGCATAATAGCAGGGTGGATGGTCAGCCTGCCGAGCTTAAACACATAAGAGGTGACGGCGGTTGCGAAAATCTTCTTTTCCCAGTCCTGGGGTTTTCCGGGGGTGGACCTCGTCCGGCCGCAGTTGTGGGCGTCCCAGGACCGCGGCAGCACCGCGCCCTTCTCGACAAAGTGTGTGGCAATATATAGCCACTTTCGGTCCCAGGACAAGATGCGGGACCACATCTCGTACTTCTGGAAGGGCTTGATCTCTCTCTTGAACGAACAGTGGACGCCGCCTATGCCAATATTGAAGGAGCCTCGGGCGGGCTTGGACGGGTTGGACGGGTCCATGACCAGGCGCGTCTTGGCATTGCTTGCGGCCAGATGGCCGGCGCGGGCGACCAGATGCGAGACCAGATGCGAGCGACTTATGTCGAGGTCTGCGAGGTAGGTTGAGTTTGACTTGTGTAGACGGTAGTCAATCTCGCCTATGGAGGCGTGCGACTCGCTGATGACGGGGTGGAAGAGCTTGTCGGGCGTGTGGGCATGGAATTCGCGAACGAACAAGTGCAAGATCATGGCATGCCATATTCTGACCTGCGTGGGAGAAGAAATGTCAGTTTTTTTGCGGTTGTTTCGCAGATTTGTGTGCACATCTATATCCATACATTCCAGGCAAAAGGCAGGCTCTTCCAGTTCAGGGCCAAGAGCACGGTGGCCAGGATGCGGCTATAGCTGCCAGGTCCTGTGTAGAAACTCATGATGGCCTCGAGTGCATTGAATCTGTGTAGCGTGAATGCCAAGACAGGAAGCAATCCCAGCAAGGCCATTCGGGCCCACGTAGCTGTCGGATTGGGCATGATTGATGAGGATGGCGAGAAGATTTTGTTGCAGGAGCTCTAATAGCTCTCGGAGAGAAGCACTGGCGGGCAGGATATTTTCTTTCCGGGGGACGCCGACTTGGAAACATAATGTCAAGTTGTTTCCCAGGTGCCGTCTTTTTGCCATGAGAGGAGTTTTCGGGCACGGGAATAACTTACACATGGCACATGCAGGGAAAGAACGAACCAGGCCCGTGTAACATGCTAAGGCTGCAGCCTCAAACAAACAACCAGCCGCCAGCTGGCACGTTGGAGCCTGAAAGCATCAGCAAGTCACCCTCGAAGGACAGGTCATCAAATGGGCACCAGACATGATTGAATTGCATTGACCTATGATGGCTTGACGTGTCACAATTCACCGAGCTACTACCTAGGTGCAGAGTGCCATCAGCCTCGAAGCATATGCACGGCAACGGAATAGGAATTGGGAAATTTCTACGGAGTAGGTACCCAAGTACCTACCAGGCATGGACTCCTTGGGTCTTTCTCACCTGCCCTGTGTTTTTTTGCTTTCAATGTTGGTCCTCAAATGCAGCCATCCAGTCCAAGAAAAAAAATCTCCAGCTCAGCCACCCCCAACCTCGAATGCCCCAGACAAATCTGCATTAAGCTACTCCGTACTTCTGCTACGAACACATCTACCAACCAAACCACCCAGGTAGGTGTTACCCAGCACTTGAGTCATTTCACGGCGAACTGACGTTGATCGTCTTCTCTTTGTGGCGTGAGGGCAAGTCCAACACCCAACACAAGCGACGAGTCCATCTTCATTCCCGGCACCCCTCTCATCGGCCTCGAGGGTGAAGGCATCTAAGCTATATTGGGTCTTTCAAAAATAATCAAAAATTACTCAGCCATCGCGAACTTTGTATTGTGCTTGCAAAGGTCCCATCCAAAATATCCTTACACTACATCCATCATCAGTGCAGCACCGCCATCTTCACACAGCAGATGCAAAGTGTTTGCGGTGTGGGTTGTGCGACACCGTCGAGTAGTCTTCTCCATGGTACACTTGCTCCTCGTTAATACCACCAAACGATACCGTAAAACCCCGACTGGTGAAGTTGTTGGATAGCTGAAACTCTCCATCACTTGCCCCCGAAGGCTTTCTCGGCTTCTCTATCGAGTGCTCTCCTCTGAGCCTGTACCAATACTCCCGGATCTGCAAAGCACCAGGCCATGTCGGTAAGTGCAATTTCCACAGCCGGCCAAATAGCGGCCAGCAAATTGGAAGACAGGCGCAGATGATGCCCGTGCCACAATGCACTGATGTCCATAGCTGCGTCTTGGAGAAGGAAGGCTGGCGGCTTCCCGGGATATATCCAAAGCCGGTCTTGAGCAAGCCCGACACGATGACACTTTCATTGATTGTTAGCCGTGGTTTGCGGTTATATAGAAGTTCAAGTACCTCCCGGGGGGGGCGTTGTATGTACTCACAATGCACCTAGGAGGAACACAGATCCCACGGCAACCTTTTGCTTCATGCCCAGTTGCAGTCCAAGGACGACCTTGATTGGCAACAGCAGAATCAAAATATCGATGAAGGCCTCGCATACACCGCTGGCGAACCAGTAGATGTTGAAATTGAAGCAGTACCGCGGGTCGGACAGGCTGTTGATCCATACATATTCCATGGGGATGCAGTTCGTCAAGTCGGCGACTGTGCAGCCCACCCAGAAACCCACTACAAGTACAGACAGTATCATGACTATTCGGCGGAACCGCTCGTCCACCGAGAAGAGCCGGTTATACATGAGCAGGATGGACAGCTTTGTCGTCGACGTTATGGCAAAATATATGACCGTCGTAGCCCAACTCAGCTTGGTGTACAAAACGTCCTCTGGTGCGTACTCGTGAGTATCAGTCACCGCGGTGGCCGTTTCGGGGCCCGTCGGGTTGCCAGTGATGGCTTGGAGAGATGTTAATCCTGATGTTTCTCAGGAAGGCCGGTGATGCATGTTTTGGAGGAGAGGGGGGGGGGGGTTTGCGAACCGCATATAGCCAGAATGTCCGTCGCAATCATTGCAATCAGCGACACCACGATCAGCCAGTCGTCCCATTTCAACTTGGCTTTTCGGGAATGTCGCACGTAAAAGCGCGCCACGACCGCTGCGATTGCCAGCACGGCCATGACAGCTCCCACGCTTAGATTTACAATCTCGTCCATTTTAGGCGGATATCTTGGGGACCGTGTCTCGTGAAGCAACTCGTGAGCTTGAGAAGGACATACTATCCATCAAGTCATCAGAGGAACTGTCCAGCTGCATCCAGTCTACTGCTGGCTCTGAGTCTCATCTATATTCATACGAGCGCCACAATCCCTCCATGACGGATGACACCGACGGGGGCATCGCTATGCCCCCAAAGACTACTCACTAAGACCTCGCGGCAGAAAAGAACATGGTATGGTGTGCCTTCCAGAACCTCGTACAATATAATCAAGGTTCAAGGCACACCCCTGCCGCCTGGAGATGCATCCAAAAGTAGCTGCAGCGCTTCCAAGCGAGTACGCCACACCTGCGAATCACCTTCATCCGCTATATCTATACATGTGATCCCCCCCCCCCTTATGAGAATTTAGTTCATCCTCAAACAGACATGACTAGAACATCCGATCACTAACAAGACCTGTTCCGTCCGGTGTTACCTCTACCATACCCAACGCGCAGCCTGCTTCCCATCTCCGGCACGCCAAGCTACCGGCTTTGTATACGGGCGTAATCCTCACCGAGCCCACAACTATGCAGCCTACTGCACATGGTTAGTTGCTGACCACTTTCCAAGAAGCTTACAGGTCTTGAGGAGCGTGGTTTCCAGCGAATGAAATTCAATATGTTAAAGCGCCGATCAATCGCCCTGGTCTTGGTCTACATGAGTGCTACGCTGACTGCCTGCCAGCACATGAGTGTCATTGAAACAAAAGCACTCAGTGCTCTCACAGATGGGAGCCTATAAGTGTACATTCCCGGGCTGACGGCCCCCACAGTCCACAACTTTCTTTGGGGGAATGAATGTTCGGGTTTCTAGATGATGCATTCGCCCAGAGTCGATGTCAAGGGCGGAGACTCAGCTCCTGCCTTCGAGGAGGATTCGCGGAGTTGATGTCAGAGGCCAGCGGAAGGGATGATTCTGAAAATACAAGGCTAGAGCGGTTTTTTTTAAAATGGACGGCGTTTGGGGCGAGACAGAGGTGCATGACGCGAGGTGGTGCGGAGTGTTCTTCCACGGTGCTAGTTCAGGGCAGAACTATTACGATGGGGGATTGGCATCGTTCCCATGTAAGGTTGAATGTCTTGCGAGGTCTCAGGCTAAGTAAATAGCTGACAAACCACGAAAGACGAACAAGTTGGTGACCGTTGATGGTTGCTTGGTTCACCAGTTTGAAGATGCCAAGAATCAGGGTGAAAGAGAAGATAATCCACACTTTCATGTCCCGCCAATCCAGATTCCTTGATCCTAGGTTCCTGGCCTCGAAGCGTCTCATTTCAACGCAGTATAATGCTATACCGTAGAGATGGGCATCACATGTTGTCTTTTCGCTTGAAAAGGCGGCATCCATAGAAGGGGAATTTAGACGATCTATCACGGAATAGAAAAAGCTTTCAAAACACAGTGAAATATCAAAAAGTAAATTGACCATGAGATACCCACAAAGCATACCTCATCAACAGAATACCTGTAGCCCTACCGAGCACAGGTAAACACAAGCCTCATCTTCCAGCGTCACACTATGGACAAAATCAAGTCACTCCTCCCCACGACCAACCTCGCGAAACGTCAAGTAAGGCCCATCATGCACGGCGGAGAACATGTCACGAATACGAAACTCATCACCACTTCGACCCTGTTGCACTCCACCACCCACCGAGCACTCCTCGAAATCAAAGTGCCAGAGCGTCTTGGCAATGACGAGACTGGTCCCCATGTAGGCGACAGACTTGCCCAGGCACCCGCGCGCTCCTAGCGAAAACGGCGCAAACGCGTCCTTGTTCGCCTGGCCGGACGCAGCGTCCAGCCAGCGCTCAGGCTTGAAGACGAACGGTTCAGGAAAGTACTCGTCGTTGTGAAGCAGCGAATACGTGTTGACACCGACATGCACCCCCCGCGGAATTACATGGCCGTCAACAACGAGTGGCTTCGCCGACGCCTTGGCGCCAGAGACCTCTTCTCGCCAGAGCGTGCCCGGAATCGCCGGCGACATGCGGAGGCTTTCGTCGAGGCACGCCCGCAAGTAGGTGCAACTCGCGAGCCGTGCGCCGCTTCGGATATCGCCATCAAGGGCGAATGCAGAGCGGACCTCCTGGCGTAGTCGCCGATAACACCGTGGGTTGCGGGACAGGTAGAAGAATAGAGCGCTGAGTGTAGTCGACGTCGTGTCGCTCCCTGTCTTCGGGTAAGAAACAAGTTGTCAACAACAAATGTCCATGCAGAGGGTACTGACCAGCCAACATGTGCCAAACCGCTTCGGTCTGCACATCACGCACCCACTCGTCATCGTCTTTCGGAATGGTCGATTTGGCCGACATGTAAAGAAGCTCCTGCTTCACGTGCTGGCCCTGCGCGAGGCGAGTGAGGATGATCTTTTGCAGCGTCCGGAGGTAGCGCTTCCTGCTGATGACGGACCAGAGCGACTGCAGGGCCCATATGCGCATGGCCACCAGCGACGGCAGCTGCATGCCGACATTGAAGAAGAAGTTGGCCCGAGAGTACGACAGGACGCGGTGCGTCGTTTCGGTCTGCAGATTCAGGGGATATTTGAACAACAGGTGGCCCATGACATCTACAAACAGATACTTGGTCTGGTTGGTCATGTTGATTGGGCCGCCGGCGTCACGGCAATGCTTTCGTATTTGTTGTAGGAAAATGTCAATCTGCTGAATGAGGACGGGCTCAAATGCCTGGAGTGATTTCGGGGACAGAGCCCGCCCGACCAGTTTGCGCTTTTTCTGGTGCAGGGACTGGTCGATTGCGTTGAATAGGCCGTAGACGCCGGGGGCTCGCTGCGATACAAGGTACGCCCTCGATTTGGTGACGTCGTTGTTTTGGTATATATCTTTGAGGCGTTAGTGCTTTGGCACAATTCCATGATTCAATGTGTTGGCCTGGTCATCGTACCTCGCAAAGCCCTGACCGAGCTAAAGACCAGTTTGTTGGGTCCATGCCTCACTACCGAGCCTAGAACTCACAGCCGTCAATATAGATGCTTCTTCATCCTCTGGACATGAAAAGAGCCTACCATATTTTGCATGGTCATCGAGCGTTCTCTCGTGAAGAACGGTATGGAAGGCATAGAAAGCGCCGTACAAATCGGAAAGCTTGGCTGTGAACGGCCCCGGATATTTTCGCAGTGGATGGAGTAGAAGCCGATAGAGGGCGAGGGACACAAGCTTGTTCATGTTAAAATATTTACGCTTATAGTGAGAGATATACATGGTGTATACATACATATACGACAGCAAGCCCAGTGGCGTAGACAACGACTCTTGGGAGTGTTGTTTCCGAATACATGGTGACTCGTTGACTCGTTTTTGTCAGGTAAAAGACTCAAGGTATAGGCTGAACATGGGGAGATGCTATACAGTCATGGTGAGATAAATCACTCGAAACGGCAGACGTGTTTTCAGTTTCAAATGGGTTCTTATCTCTTCCAGATACGTGTATACTGGCCAAACCGTATTGCAAAAACTCTCTACTATAAAAGCACAATAGAAGCGGCCAGGCTCAGGATCGCCGGATGGTGCCTGGCATAACCACCAATAGCAACACCAACGAGACTCGCAAGAAACACTTGTTTGCAGAGAAATCAGGAGCCTGGTACAACAGCCTGCTCAGCTTCCCATGTGCAGTGAGAACAATAACCAGATAATGGCTTCGGAGGCTCAAGCCTTCTTCGCAGGCGCATGTAGCCCCCACTGAATAACCTCCTCCCCCTTGCATCATCATCACATGGCCCGAGGTTTCACAGCGGAGATCTGACGTGGACTGTGACGGCAATCGTAGTGCAGAGTATTCCGTGGCGCGTGGCGCCGCCTGCTGTATGACGGCGTCTACCACGCGACGATCGTCCAATATGATCAAAGTGGCCACTAACCGACGATATAAGACAGTCGGGGGCCAGGCAGAGCGTCCTCAACCTTCCCCTTCGGCGCCACCATCTACACATCCTACCCAGAATATGTTTCCTGCAGTCTGACCAGTCTGACAGTCCAAAAGTATCGCCAGAAATCACATCAATAGGAGTTGAGGCATTTGTTTTGCTGCCAATGCTGACTACCTGAGCCATACTCGTATCCGTGCGGAAAGCAGGCGTGGAGAAGACGACCGGCTGGTGCTTACATGCATAAAAGTACCCTGATACCCTGTCCAGCAGCGGCTTACCTCGTGTTGTAGTACAAAAGTACCGGCCCTAAGGCTGATAAAGGTGTGTAAGGTACCAGACGTCCCATGGCATAAACGATGGGGGCTGACCACCTGCCTAGGCATTCCAGTAGTGTTCCTTGAAACATACAAGGCTGAAGAGGTTAGTTGCCTTGACTGCCTTCGTCAGAACCGCGTTTAAGCGATGATGAATGTCTGAAGTAAACTTTGTAGCGCCTTATACGGTATAATCCACGTCTCCGTCGAGTGGGTTTCACAATACGCAGAAAGGCCAATTGGCTCGGGTGATAGGAATAGAGGTCGTTGTTGCGGCAATACAGGTGATTATTATTCGGAACTTGACATTATTCGAACTTTGACGAAACAAGGCAAATAACAAAGTGAAAATCGACCAATTGGTTAAACCAGTCCTAAGCTGGGGTCTTGGATTCCTTCATGCCCGTGCTGCCAAATTGGCGGCCCCATTTGCGCACCTTGTTGTCCATATCCCCGCGCACGACTGTCATGATGATAAAAATCAGTCCGGCGAGAATCCAGTCCCCGAGTCCCCTAAAGAATCCGCCTCTGATGCTACCTCCCAGCATGCTCCGTTTGACCAACCCCGTCTGGAAGTCGGTTGTGATGAGCTCCTGTCCACTCTCTAACCCCTTGATACTCCTCGATGCAATAACTTCGGGTGTTTGCGGCTCGTCTCCTTCCTCGAGCATTTTGGTTAAATCAGATTTGATCCGATTCTCGGCTTCAAAACCTTCTGTAAGAATGCCCGCAGGGAAGATTGTATGCAGGCGGACTCTCGGCTCGTTTGGATTGGCGGCACTGTACAAATTCATCTCTTGAGAAAGGGAGTCCGAAAGAGAGCGAAGCGCGGCCTTGGTGGGACTGTAAGGGGAATAGCCAGCAAGGCCATAGAAAGCCAAGAAGGATGCGGTGAAGATGATGTGGCGTTGGAGGGTAGAGTTCGGTTGGGACCCAGGCTTATCGGAAGAGCCAGGCAGGTTCGAGGTCAAATTCTTGCGCGATGGCTGCAGCCAGCATTGCAGGATGGCGTGTGACATGTATAGGCTGGTGAAGTAGTTGTTTTGCATCTGCGTGGAGAACTCGGTCACCAGAGTGTCGATGAACAGGGTTGGGTGCGAAGTACCGGCGCAGCACCACACCTGCAATTCTAGGCATTAGTATTCCCTAGCTTAAGAGAAACACCCATCCCTCTAGGCAGAGGGTGCATCAAATCGAGCAAAGTACTCAGCAGGAGGATAGGGGTAGGAGGTGCAAAAGTTGCTCACAATGTCGGGTGGATTGCCAAAATTCCACGACACCACCTCGTCCACAACGCGGACAGATTCAGAGGCGATGGTGAGGTCGGCACTGATTTGATGGAAAAGCTGGGTTTCGGGGTTTAAAGCGTCGTTCTGTTGTTGGATCAGCTTCACATACCATCGAGCTTATACGACGAGCGGAGGGCCTACCTTGACATTTTCGAGACCTTGAAGAAGCTTCGCTTGATCGCGCGCAACAATAACAACGTTGGCACCCTTTGCCGCGAGCTGGCGTGCGACGGCCAGTCCCAATCCACTCGACCCGCCAG